GTGAGGCGGCTGGAGCGGGCGCAGCTCCGGAATTGGCGGGAATACCTGGATTACGAGATGGCGGCCGGCTCGCACGAGCGCACCATCGTCCTCTTCGAGCGCTGCGTCATCGCCTGCGCCCTCTACGAGGAGTTCTGGGTCAAGGTGCGCCCGAAATCCCCTGAAATTGCCCCAAAACAGCCCCAAATTGCTCCGAAACCGCCCGAAATTGCCCCCAAACTGCCCAAAATTGCCCCCAAACTGCCCAAAATCGCCAAAAATGCACCAAAACTGCCCAAAACCGCCCCAAAACAGCCCTGAAAACACCCGAAACCGTGTCAAACTGCCCCAAAACCGCACGAAACCACCCCAAATTGCCCAAAACCATCCTGAAACTGCCCCAAACTGCCCCAAAACCACCCCGTTTGGCCCCAGAACGCGGCCACACGCTGACTCGCCTCCCGGACGCCTGGGCCCCCTTAACGTCCCACCCGGACACCTGGGCCCTTTTTGGTCATTGCCACCAAATTGGCCTGTTTTGTCCCCAAAAGGAGTGAGTGGGAGGGTCATGGGGGAGGGTCATGTGAGGGTCACACAGGGGTCATGGTAAGGTCATGCCATGGTCATGGGAGGTCACATGATGGTGGTGCCATGAACATGCCACGGACATGCCTTGGTCACGCCAAGGACACGCCATGGTCATGCCCATGACATGCCATGGTCACGTTATGGTCAAGCCTTGGTCACGCCATGGACATGCCTTGATCACAGCAAGGACATGCCATGGTCATGCCAAGGACATGCCTTGGTCAAGCCTTGGTCATGTTAAGGACACGCTATGGTCAAGCCTTGGTCAGGTCAAGGACACATCTTGATCATGCCTCGGTCATGCCATGGCCACGCCATGGACATGGTCTGGTCACACCAAGGACATGCCATGGTCATGCCAAGGACACAGCATGTTCATGCTTTGGTCACACCAAGGACACACCATGGTCACACCATGGTCATGCTTTGGTCACACCATGGTCATGTTTTGGTCATACCAAGGACACGCCATGGTCACACCAAGGACGTGCCATGGACATCCCCTGGTCACACCAAGGACATGCTATGGACATGCTTTGGTCATGCCAAGGACACACCATGGTCACGCCATGGTCATGCCTTGGTCACACCAAGGACATGCCCTGGTCACACCAAGGACATGCCATGGTCATGCCAAAGACACAGCGTGTTCATGCCTTGGTTGCACCAAGAATACGCCATGGTCACGCCTTGGTCATGCCTTGGTCATGCCATGGTCGCACCATGGTTATGCCTTGGTCACACCAAGAACATGCCATGGACATGCTTTGGTCACACCATGGTCACCCCTTGGTCACACGAAGGACACACCATGGTCATGCCATGGTCACGCCTTGGTCATGCCAAGGACACGCCATGGTCATGTCTTGGTCACACCAAGGACATACTTTGGTCACACCAAGGACATGCCATGGACATGTTTTGGTCATGTCAAGGACACGCCACGGTCATGCCTTGGTCACACCAAGGACATGCTTTGGTCACACCAAGGACATGCCATGGTCATGCCTTGGTCATGCCAAGGATGTGCCATGGTCACACTAAGGACACACCATGGTCACACCAAGGACACGCCATCGTCACGCCATGGTCTCGCCATGGTCATGCTTTGGTCACACCATGGTCACGCCTTGGTCACACTAAGGACATGCCATGGTCACACTAAGGACATGCCATGGTCACGCCATGGTGACGCCTGTGTCACGCGTGTCCCCCGCAGTACACGCGCTACCTGGAGCGCCACACGGTGGCCGGCGCCCGCAGCGTCTTCCAGCGAGCCTGCGGCTACCACCTGCCCCGCACACCACGGTGCCCGCCGCCCGCAGCGTCTTCCAGCGCGCCTGCGGCTACCACCTGCCCCGCAAGCCCAACATCCACCTGCTGTGGGCGGCCTTCGAGGAGAAGCAGGGTGAGCGCGGCCTCAAACACCCCCAAACACCCCCGAAACACCCCGAAACACCCCAGAAACACCCCCAAATACCCCAGAAACAACCCCAAACACCCCCGAGACGCCCCAGATACCCCCGAAACACCCCAGAGACACTCCAGAAACACCCCAGAGACACCCCAAATACCCTCAGACACCCCCAAGACACCCCAAATACCCCAGAAACACCCCCAAACACCCCCAAGACACCCCAGATACCCCCGAAACACCCACAAACACCCCCAGACACCCCCGAGACACCCCAGATACCCCCGA